CCCCCCCGTTTCCTCCACAAAAATCAAACTTTGGAAACCGAAAAATTTTGGAAAATTCCGAAAATTTTTCAGAAAAAGTTACATTTCAATGAAAATTTTATAAAAATTCCGAAAAAACCGAAAATGAAAAATGAAAAAATGAAAAAAAATTGAATTTTCCGTTCGAGACCCGCCAACCCGCACCGTCACTCACCGCAACACAACATAATGAAGAAATCGGCCACAATGCGCGATATCGATATATTCACCAGATCACCGTCACGCGCACTACACACACTCTCCTCCATACGTCCGCGTCGATTCGACGTTAACATTTCCACCACCAATTTTCTCAAATTTTCACCGGAATTTTCCAAAATATCTCGTAAAAATTTTCAAAATTTTCCGAATTTTCTTGGAAAATTTAAAATTTTTTTCAAAATTTTTTTTGCCCCTCCGAACAAAAAAATTCCGTTTAAATGGAAATTGCGACGCTGAACGATGAGAGTCGAATGCGATTTTAGTGATTCGTTTGTGAAATAAAATTCCCGAAAATTTTTTCTATTTTTTTCGCTGTTGTTTACTTTTCCACACACACACACACACTATCCCAAGAGTGTAACCGATGAGCGAGTGCGTCGATCTCTTCTCTCGAAGAGAACCGAAACCTGAAATTAATTTCAGGTTTTTTCTTACGCTCAATCTTCCAGACGTTCATATTATCGAGTGAGCAATATCGAATGTGCGTGGAACGATGAAGTCTCTACGCCAGCAACCCTACTACATTACATCAACAATAATATACAATAATAAATAAAAAACATCCACAATAATAATAATAAATAATAATAATAAATAATAATAAATAATAATAAATATTAATCACAACAAGCACTCCCACATCATCCCACCCATACCGTAATGATTCACCCGCACCATCGCATTACTCACCCCAATTACCTTTCGACGTGAAAAAAATTCAACCCAAAAATCACCAAATACCTGTATTACCTGTATCGGCCAGGCTATCAAACGTTTATAACGTTGCTGGCCACAATGCTCGCAATGTTTCCGTCGGCGCATTNAACTCTAATAAAATAAATATTCCGCCGATCGCTCACTGCAATCGACGAAACAACCACTCGACGTCCAAGTAATAATTGATCAAAATCACCAAATACATCTCATCATAAATATCACTCCAAATTACTTTAAAAAATTCAAAAAATATTAAATTCCCAATAAATAAATAAATAATAACTAAACAACCCATTACAATACATAATACATAACAAAACAGCACTCACCCAATCACAACACATTTAGTTTATTTCTTCGAAAAATGAGTCATTTCTATGCTCACACTCCTGGCCAATTTAAATAATCCATCATATAATATACCATTAGCAATAAATAATATTAAATAATATAATAATAAATAATAATAATAATAAACAATAATAAATAATAACAATAATTATAACCATAATAATGTCCACATACGCATATCAAATTGCATGACTCATAACCATTTCAATCTCCTGCCCTACTTTCCATATCATTTACATCTCATCTGCCTCATCAAACTATATATATATATATATATATA